GTCATCATGAATTGTTTTCATAATGCTCTTATAATTTGGTTCCCACAGATTATACCTCAGACTGTTGCGCAGTGGAAAATTACATTTGTATCTCGGAAATTTGTCTAGTCTTCTAAACCTGTCAGGTAGAGAGCAGGTCAAAACTGTGGCTTTCACTCACATTCAGGCTGACAGAGTCCATTTGAACACAAGTTTTAATAAGCAGATTTTAAAGTAACTATAAGAAGTAAAATGTATCAAGCCAGGTGGCAAAAAGTTTGCTATATAAGGAATCCCAGCTGAATGTGTCGAGCCACAGATTTTACGGCAAATCAAATACAGAGCATCCATGTGGTGACAGCAGAAAGAAAAAAAAACATCCCTTTTAATATGAAAACGCCTCCAGCAAAAATATTGGGGTTTTTAACGACGCAACATTGTGTTTCCATCTTAATTTGCAATTCCTATTTAAACCACACCTGCAGATGAAACTAACAGCTGAGCCTGGTGTGTGTCACCAAAAGCGCTTTGTAGCACTATAGATACACCTTTAAAAACTTTCTCCCACGCAAACACACACACACACACACACACGCTAGATGGGAAGAATAGTAGTGGAGGCTAGTTTTTGTTAATGTGGAAAAAGTTAATCTGAATTCTTCTGGTCAGACAGACATCGTCCCTCATGAATCCAACTCATATGGACTACAGTGTTCCAGCTACAAGAGTTTCAGCCTCATGTACTGGATCAGAAAATTACAGAAAATTTACCAGCCATGATGGATTCCAACCGTCAGCTGAGGCTGAAATAAATGATGACTGGGACAGCGATCGGCTCCTGAGCTTACATTCCTATAAATTTATTTGCAGTCCTGTTTAAGGTTTGGCATTTGATAGATTTTCACATTTTTAACTGCAAACAATTGTAAATATTGTACTCTGCCAGCCTACTATATGTGACCAGCCAGTTCAGCAGTCATAAAAAGGATATACAAATCCAACGTAATATACATTAATCCTCTTGGAATGTGTGTAAACAGAGCTGAGACTTAATCGCGTGATTTGTGCATAGCAGAACTGGTTGCTGTGTTTCAAAGATTCCCTTGTTCACTTGCTGCAACGAAGCTCACTCCTTGTTTCAATTAGTAGCAAAACCTTTGAATCATGTTTAACAGCTGCAGACACGATGGGGCTGACTGGCTGAAATACACGCTTCATCCAGCTGTCTGTTTGCCCATGATTCTTGGTAGTTATCGTTGATGATACAGCAGTTACAGGAGTTTGATTGATTTTAAAGCCGACTGTGATGTTTAACATTCCATAAATTGTTTTTATTGGAAACCTGTTGAGCCCAAGATCAACTCTTTGCAGCAGTTATTTAGGAGCAAGCTTTAAACATTTTTAACCTCACTTACCAACTGACTCAACTTTTGTATATTGACAAAGTAAACTAGGGTTTTCATAAAACCTTATTTTTCACAGCTCCATTTTTTTTTAAAGAGCTTAGGTAAGTTTAGGGAAACATATAATTCCTGGTGTCTTATGAAGATCATCACGCGTTTTCCTTCATTTAACAACTGAGCAACATAATTCTTCAAGTTGGAGTCTAATGACTTCATTCTTTCACCCATGTGTGTTAAAGCAGAGACACATCTAGAAGTTGCAGGAGACCGACACTTGAAGACTGGATTTGAAGACCCCTTGATCTGGACTTTACACATAGACTCTCAATTTTTTTTTTTTTTTTTCACTCACATTTTAACCCCACAGACTAAAATTTTGAATTTGACCTTTCAAATACAGTGTTGTAACCCATCACAGATTTCTCCAAAAAAAAAAAAAAAATAAAAAAAATAAATAAATAAATAAATAAATAAATAAATCCTCTTCTAATTTTGCTGTTTATACACGTTCAAATGTTTAAGATCAAACTCATTTGAATATCAAAGACAACCTGAGAAAATACAAAATGCGGCTTTTTCTTGATCACTTGACTAAAAAAATTATTCAAGCTACGTGAACAATAATTTTCCCTTTGTCTGATTAAATAAATATCAAGTTATTGACGGTGTGATACTTAAAGTGCCTCACATGTCGTGAAGCACTTTAAGCCTCACGACGATGCTTCATCTTGTCCATTTGTGGATTCACTGTGATTTCCTACTGAGGTTCATTAAAGCACCAAAGCCTTAGAAATGGCTATTTTTTTTTTTTTAATTCTTATTATTTTTTTTATCAATGTGACAAAAAAGGAGAACACAAAATAACTCAGTAGGGGGCAAATACTTTTTTTTAAATGTTTTTAACAATGCTCTTTGTATATAATATTCAAATTGTTGGGTAAATTTAAATTGGTTCACACACTACAAAATGTTGGATTTAAACTTTATTTCACATGATGAACTAAATATTTCCATAGCTAGTAGCGATAATTTTAATTTCAAAATAATGTTCTGACTCGGACGGCATTTAAAAAGATAAGAAAATGTTAAAGTGCAAAGCGACACCCTGTATGCAAATCCTTTTTGATTTGTGCTTCTGCCTTGTGCCAAGAGCTCAAATTGTTTCTACTTTCTCAACCAGTTTTGTAAGACGATGATGAAATAACACACAGCATCACAACTGAGACGCTGGTGGTCAGAAGATGTCTAAAATTCTCTGATGTCACTCTGTAAAAACACGTCTTACAGTGTTACAAAGACGCTTGCGTAATCTACCATGTCCAGGATTGTGCGAGGAATGCTAAAACTGAGACATAAACACAGTTTGTGTTTTTTTTTACTCCCTCTACATAAGAGCATAAAGTTGGTTTAGGAAAAAAAAAGAAAAGATCAATAGCTGCACCTGGAAGTGATTGACAAAGTCAAAAAGGATTATTAGATAGGTCTGGCAAAACACCTGAAACTCGCCCTCACAAGTCAAGTGTTTAAAGAATTACTTTAAGTGAAACCAACTCAGTGATTGCATACATTTAGCAACATCAAAAGGACTCCATACTCCTTTGAGTCATAATAACTTCAAAAGCCTGCATAGGTGACTTTGTAAAAATTAACCAGGGCTATCTTTGCTTCCTCTATCACCTACTCAAGACAAATCTGACCTGCTGGCTCCAATTTTAAACACATTCAGAGACAGTCCACGATTTCTGACATGACTGAGAGTTATTCGGGAATAGATTATTAACCATTCCTCTAAATGTGAGGCAAAGTTCGCATTAATTTGGTTTATTTACTTTTCTTTTTATCACACGGCTTTACGAGCCTTTATTTGACAGTCGTATAGATGGCTTTACTAGGTGTTGTTGCAGGGAGGGACATCTCTTTTACAAATCGCCTCATTCACCTGCGTCACGTGACGACATGAAGTACTAAACACAATTTAACTGTCTGGAATCAAAAAGGACTGCAGAGACTGTCTGTGACTGTCATAGAGGGGAAAAGGCCAGTTGTTACCAGGGAAACTATGTTTGGCGAATGTGGGGGATAAACTGTGGCGGTGTCTCACTAATAATAATTTCTATTATCAGTGCTGAATGTTTAGATTATCATGTAAATAAGGGGCTGTGCCAGACGGAGACAGATTGAATTTGAAGGCTGGTGAATGGAAAATATCAAACAGAACAGCTGAGCAATCGCGGCACGTTGGTCCATCCAAGTACGTCTGCAGTGGGGAGGTAAGCCATTATTACCTGTGTTATTTCTTTTGAATTGAAAGCTTGTGGAGGTAGAACACGTAAACTGTGAATGGGGGGGGAGGAAAAACCCCACCGCATAAAGAGGAAGTCTTCTTCAGGTTTCTTTAGTTAGTGTTACTTCTTTTGTTTCGTCACACGTCTAGGAAGGAAGTAAACGGTACTTCCTCTTGCTGCCCTCCTAAACTATATGAGGTGAGATTCAGCTGCTCAAGTAAACATTTGAATCGATACAACCATTTACAGAAGAGGTAAGAAACATATAGTTTTTGTTTTAAAATGTTTTTGTAAATTTTTTGATTTCTTTTTGCAGTATGGAAATCAATGCTCGATTTCCTTCAGAATCAAGCATTTCTACAGCTTTTTGCTGATATTTAAAATGTGCAGAGCGTCATTTGAACTCGCTTACTGCAGGTTATCTGCACTTGTTGACTTAAGTTTTAACTTGGGCTAGTAGTTGGATAAATAATTATTTCTTTGATCAAATTTAGGCACACAACCTTCCTTTTCAGATTAATTTGGTTTTATTTATTTAACCAGACTGACTTAAATGGTGTTCATAATTTATTTGAAGGTTCTTACATTTTAAGAGACATTTTTTTCTTTCTAACAACATTGCTCAAAAGAAAACTGCTTCCCAAACTAAAATTAGCTTAACAACAGTGGGGTGGTGGTACATATATTAATTGGGAGTACAGTAATCTACGTACTGATGCCTCCTATAGGTCACACAAGGAACACAGCTCTGACAGGCGATTACAGCCTAGAAGACAGCGCTGTAGTATTTTATTGTTTTTTTACGTGTCACCAAAAAAAATTGTCAGTGTCAAGTATTATTTGACCTCATTGTGAAGGCAATGAGCATGATGGTGACTTTGTTGAACTAAAACACATCCATGCTTCATTTTTAACAAATAATTAGAAAATAAACTTCTGGTTTCACTCACCTATTTAGGCTTGTTGTAATTTAATTTCTTAAAAGATTTATGAACTTGTCCACCTATGAAAAAAAAAAAAGCAAGATAGAAACTTATTATTGAGACATGTTGAACTGAAATTTAAGTGTCAAAATTTAGTGGAAAAATTAGTTTAAAATCGCCACTGGTTTTGGCTGTCATACAGTCCCTGTGGTATAAAACGATCCAAATAATAATGATTTAGGTTTATCCCCATCTACAAAATGTCCCAGAACGGCAATCAGTTCTGATAGGGGCCCAAACCTCTAACAAAGAAGGATTATTTGTTAAAAAAAAAAAAAAAAACTGGAAAAAAAAAAAGGATAAAAAAAGAACAAAATAACTTCTAAACTAAACTAGTCTATTTTTTGCTTTATACTATGTCTAATTTTTATTATTAAAAGTGTCATAATAGTAATACAAAGGAATATGGATTTGTTTTTTCTCCGTGTTGCCTAAAAGTGAACATATAATCCTTATTAAAGATGAATAAAAGCAAAGTAGTAAAGCACCTGTATGGTGAAGTACTTTGTCGAACAGATGATTAATCACTTTCTACTCTCTTATCTCTTATCATCAGAAGTCGGACCTCAAGGGAAAGATGAGTGTCGGGTTACTGGTGAAAACAGTAAAGCCGTCTTGTCCTGTCACGTTGTTTCCAGGCCACTGACCGAATAAGGAGCCGTTGTGTCCTTTGCTTTGGACTGCTTGACAGCTCAAACATTCCTGTGCAGTGGCCCATTTGTCCTCAGAGTCAGAGTCAAGGATATAATGTGACACATCTCAATCCCTGACACTTGTGCGAGAATAAATCTGAAGACAACATGCAGGAGTGCCACACTGGGCTGTGTCTCTCTGTCTACATCATCACCTTTGTGCTGGGCTTCCCCACCAATGTCCTGGCCTTCTACACCTTTTGGAAGAAAGTGAAGCAAAAGCCCACGCCAATCGACATCCTTCTGCTCAACCTGACCATCTCTGACCTCCTCTTCCTCCTGTTTTTGCCCTTCAAGATGCAGGAAGTCGTGGACGACCTGAAGTGGAACCTGCCCTATGCCCTCTGCCCACTGTCCGGCTTTGTTTTCTACATGACCATTTACAACAGCACTTTCTTCCTCACTGCCGTCAGCGTGGAGCGGTACTTGGGCGTCGCTTTCCCAATCAAGCACACCCTGAAGCGTCGACCCATTTATGCTGTCGCCGCCAGCATCTTCTTCTGGATCTTCTCCTTCCTTCACCTGAGCATTGTATTCATAGTGCCATTTATTGGACAAGATGGACAAGAACATGGCAAAAATTCCACCTTCACCATCCCTGAAAGCAGGAAGGATGTGTGTTATGAAAATTTTACAGATGCCCAACTGAAGGTCCTCCTGCCTGTGCGTCTGGAGCTCTGCATAGTGCTTTTCTGCATCCCCTTCCTCATTTCCAGCTACTGCTACATCAACTTCATCAGGATTCTGTCCAGGCTGCACCACATCGACCGCCGCCGCCGCCTGCGGGCCATCGGCATGGCATTGGGGACACTAGTCGTCTTCGCCTTGTGCTTCGGCCCCTACAACGTCTCACACATTGTGGGCTTCGTCATGGGGAGGAGTCCTGATTGGAGAGACAAAGCACTGCTGTGCAGCACCTTCAACGCCTGTCTGGACCCTTTTATTTTCTACTTCTCCTCCTCTGCTGTGAGAGGAACTGTCGACAAATTGAAGCAAGGGGTTAAAAGTTGCCTCTGCAGGTGCATGTCCTGTCACATGCTCCAGGCCTTGTGTGGGGGAGCTAACAAGACTGAGAAAGATAAGGAACACAAACAACAGGAGATCAATGCTATCACAACTGACAGAAAGAGGACTGGGAGCAGCAGCCTCAACTAATTTTTCCATCTCTGCAAGCAGGAAATTAATACCGCGTTTATGTTTTTACCCATGTGAAAATGACTTGGCTGTGTATACTGCGGCGGGATTTGTTTGACTCACTGATGAACTTGCGATGTGAGGCGCCCTTTTTGTTTGCCTGAGCAAGCCGCAGCAATTTTTAAAGGCAGCGTAGTGTGTAAAGCTGCAGAGACAGGCCTGCTTTGAACTGTCACATGAAATAAAAAAAACATTTCTTGCATTAAGTAGCGAGGTTTCATAATAACACCCATAATGCAGTGGGGTGTTGTGCAGACGTGGCGCAGGGATTGCAAATACGCAGTACCTAAGCAACAACTGTTACTTCCTTGTGATAAGATACAAGCTTGTTTTTTTTTTGTTTTTTTTGGATTGTTTATTTCCATTTGTAATCAATTGATATTGTCACTTTGGGCTCATTATATTTCAGGCTTTAGTGATGTTTTTATGTGGATTATACATTATATTTTTACTGTGTACTTCAAACGAAAACATTATTTTTCATACATGAATCATATAAAAAGAATTTTACGTAATCATGACTCAGAGTGTTTTGTAAAAAGATCAGCCGTGTAAAGCTGGTGTGTGTGCGTGTGAGAGAGAGCGCGAGAGAAAACCAAACTTGATGAGGAGAGGGAGAGAACAGGTTTCTGTATAAACAGAATTTCCATATATGAATCACACGATAATCTGTTTGAGTAATTAATAACCATTCAGTAAACAGGAGCAAGAAAGAAAGCCACTGTGTGTGTGTGTGTGCATGAGGAAGTATACATAATGAGTGATTTGGTTTTAAAGAAGCAAAAGTATGACAGCTGATTGTACCCACTGCATCTCCATCAAATCAGCCACGTAACATAAAATTGTGTATTTTTCTATTTATAAACTTAGAGAAAACAATGATTAATGCGATCACCCAAAACTCTTCTAAGTTGATAAAACAGCCTGTGTTTGACGTCACTAATCTGCTTCTAGACGGTTCCCCATATTGTGTTCACATTCTCTGGCACTGGTTCTTCTGTTTTTTGTGGTCAGAGTCATATTTATAGATCACACAACATGTGAATCAACAGATCCACCACATGTTCCAAATAGAAACAATTCTCTGACATAAGCAAAATGTTGGCATAGGCAGTAATCCTGTTTGGTGAGGATTAGAACATTATGGAGGTTGAGCTAATCACTGTATCTGCTTGACAGGTGGATGACGAAATTATGCATTTTGACTCATAAATGCTGCAGAATGACTAACATGGGCAGGATACCAGCCACTAAAGCAAGGGAAAATAATCTCAAACTACAGTAACTAGCATTAGTGTATATATAGTATATAGTGAAGGAGTTGTGACACGAAGTGTAAGAAATTTATATAAAATATGACAATTGTGAAACTTTGTGTACATTCGTACTTATTATGAGCATGTCGCTCTGTTAATTTGGGACTGTTCCTAGGCTAAAATAATCATAATACAAACACATGCAATAATTTTTTTATGCACTTTTTCAATTATTGTTTTTTCTTGCAAAAAATATTTTAAGTAATGGTCATGAAATCTTTGGATGTTATAAAAATAACCCCACAAGTCTTTCTCAATTTATTCAGATTTGCAATTATGGGTCAATCACTAGATTGACCCATAACTGCAGTTATGGGCAGTTATGGCTGGCAAATATGGCAAAACAAACTTTGAACTTCATCCAATCGCCATCATTTACATGAAGTTTATAAAACGTAGCACTGTCATGTTTAAACCCACTAAAATAAATAGATGCATACATTTATTTAATCCTACAGGGAAAGTTTGGAGCCTGTCTTGATGAGAGAGTTTTTAAAAGTCATTGTAGATTTTATTTTTTATTTTAGTAATCATTCCTTTGGGAAGGGTGATTACACCTGTATAGAACAGGTTACCTGCTAACTAGGGATGAATCTTGTTTTTCCTGTGATGGATCTCAGCTTGAATTTGCATGAACGTGTTTGTCAAAGGTTGGTTTGCTGAGAAAAAACACCCAGAATGCCAGCAGCTGTTCATTCCACCTCCTATTTGAATATGTAGTTCCTGAAAGACAGTTGCTGGTTTTCCCATCAGTGTTGACTTTTTTCCTAACCCTGGGTGATAAGTGACAGTGATAAGGCAATAAGAAAAACACCCCGGGGAAATGATGTCACTACAAGCATGTGCGTCTGTGTTTGCCAAAGGCAGAGAAACACTGTCCTCACATGACCATCATCAACTGACCCTGTATCCGGACACCATTGACTGCTGTGAAAAACAACGCTGAGCCAATTAAACGACATTCTTTAAAAGCTTTCTAGGATTCTTTGTAATTTCCAGTAAACATCTCAGCCATCAGAGGAAGCACAATTTTACATTCCAATGTGCAATCAATTAATTTGGTGTGGCATCTGGAATCTAGAACAAGAAGATTATAGCATTGACTTGTCTGTTTTATCGATTTATTGAGACTGATACAAAAATCTAAACGAGGCTAAACTGGATTAGGTGCAGAAATGTTCCTCTCCTCGCTGGAAGTTTTAAGCACTGACTGAGAAAAATCATTAACTTGCCCAGCTATGTTGTATTTCAGGCAACCCAATGCCTCTGACTAATCAGTCTGTGAATAGATCAAGCAGCTTTAGTGAAGTCTTGTCACCCAGACACTCTGCTTCAGTGCAGAATGAGTTGATTTGTAGAGTGGGCAATTGCCTTTTTATGGGACCATTAAAAGTCCAGCTTATTGACTGGCTGTTTAAAGTGAACTGAAGTGATCTGATGGTTAAATGAAATAGGAGCTCACACCTGATTTATCAGGTTTTGAGGAGTGTGACACAGTACTAAATACCTGCATCAATAAATACAATGGCACCAAAAATATATACAGTATATCAATTTATTACACAGAGTGATGTATTTGAATGATGAATGATGTCTTTTTCTAATTTAAATCCGTAACACAAACAAGACCAATTAAAAAAAATAGTTTTATACAAACATATTGACCTACTTTTGAGATGTACATTCATGTACTGTACGGCATGCATGCCACAGTTGGTCTGGACTCTTTTTACAATAATCAATGAATGTGGTGTGGAATTAGTTTGTGGTTCCACTGAGGTGTTGAAAAAGTCCAGGTTGATTTAACGGCTTCCCAAATCATGAGCATGGAAACGTCACACTGGACATGAACCAACTTCAATTCTGTGCTTATCCAACTCTTTTTCCATACTTTAATTTTGATTTTTTTTTTTTTAAACAGGAATTTGGACAAAAGATCAACAGTTAAGTCCTGATTCTCCTTGGACCAGGTAAAATGTTTCTGATGTTATTTCCTTCCACTCAGATTCTCATTAGCATTCTTGGACACAGCGCTCTGTGATCGGCCCGCATCTTTAGCAAATAACTTATATAAACCAGAGCATTGAGTTAGATTAGTAATATCAAGAAGTTAAATAGGAATATATTTTGTAAAAACAAACAAGCAAACATGCAGACATCAATGCATCAAGAGCACCAAACAGTGGTGGTGGCCAACAAATAAGCTTTTTAGGGTCTTAGAAGCTAAACTTTGTGTGAAATAAACAACAGTGCTTTTTGCTGGGACATGCAACATGCAATATTAAAAAAAAATTGATCTTTTTAAAATATTCAGCAAATAAAATATAAAAAAAGTCTCTGTTTTATGAGTTTCATCAAGTCTAAACAAATCCATTCTGCACTTTGCTTTTGCTGTAACCATGTTAAGTGATGTAGAAGCAACGTTTATTGCAGAGAAATGGGCTCCTGGTTTGCAGTCGTGATTCATGCAGGTGGCAGCTTTCCTAACAAGCAGCAGATATCATAATATTTAATGCAGTCTGTCATATTAAAATGAAAAACAAAAAATACATGATGTGTTACATAAATTGCTGGTGGGAGTAGCATATAAAATCCTGTGTAATGTTATGCTACTTACTAATTTTAATTGAAAGAAATTGCCTAATTTAAAAAAGCACCTGAGTAAAAAATAATCCAACAACAAACAAATAAATTTCTAGCTCCTTTTTCAGCGATACTTACCCTGTGTGTAGGAAGCAGTCAAAGCAAAGTTCATAGTGAGATGTTACTTCACCCATGTGAACGCTACCCCTGCTTTCAGGGATTGCTTTCTGGGAACGATAATACAACTGAACAGCTACACTTTGAGACGTGGGTTGTCTGTCACCACAAAGCACTTTGACTGGCGTGAAGGGATGGAGTTCACCAACAAGCCTGAAGACAGCAGGGCTCTGCCAACAGGAGGTTCAGGCATGCTGCCTCCAGAGATGTTGGCAGGGAGGGTGCAACGGGCATCTGACAGGAGATCAATATCAGCTGCTGTGCCTCAATACATCCAGGTGACAGAGAGTCTGCTTGGAGGGAAGCCTCCAGTGAAGCAAAGGAGAGCCTACTAATCGCCCTGTGTGCAAGGAGGAGTCTAGAGATAGAGTTTAGGAGCAGAAGGTAGGGCAAGCATTGGGAGATGGGCATAAAACCAAGCTAACAGGTCATACAGAGTCAGTTAGCTTCAGGTAGACCATTCTAACTCCAATTAAAATAGTAAAAATAATACAAAAAAACACGGTGAGGATGATTGCTGCCTTTATATAACAGCAACAAACTTAACTTTCATAAACTCTAATGAGACACAAACCAGGTGAACAAACACACACTTAACCTACCTTTCAGAAGTATTCAATAACATTTAGGATCATTAGGTCATGTCTTAGCTATGTTTTACTTTTCAACCTTTTCAACTATTTCAGCTTTCATAACTAATTTAACCCCCCCCCCCCCCCCAAAAAAAAACAACAATAAAAACGTGTAAAAACATGTTGGCCATTCGGTGGGGACAACATCCAGGGGAAATCAAAAGAAAGCTTTTCTTCCGCATGAAGGATTTCCACATAATAATTTGGCCATCCCTCCCTGCCTTGTTTTCTGGCGAGTTTCAATTCCCGGGGCAAGATCAATACAAGGCACAGCGAATCGTGCTGGGGTGATTATTTCTAGATCTGTCATGAAACTGCTCAGGCAAAAAGATGAACTCAAAGGGAATTTCACGACTTGAATTTTTATAGATTGAGCCTGGCCATTCCTTTTTTCACTGTGATACATGGGTCTCGTAAGGACCACACTAAACCGTGCTGCTCTCGTGCACAGAGGATACAAATGAGACGTAATTACCAGCACAACAACATCTCCTAAACACGGCAGGCCTAATAAATTGCGGCCATGTTCATTTCTGAAACAGACTATTTGTTTCTCACCCAAGACGAGCAGCGTGGTCCCATTTCCCAGCTTTGGGTCTTTCTGTAGGACGTTCACCTCACAGAAATACCACCCACAATCCTCTAGTGTCACCTCAGTGATCACCAGGGAGGAGGTTTGATTCTTCTCTACAAAGATCCGCCTCAGTGACTTTGGGATGAGCTGCTTTCCAGGCTTCATCTTGAACCACTGAACCCCAGACTTAAGGGACTTGAAGTTGAAATGACAGGACAGGGTTGCCATCTCGC